AGGGCATTGACCCTTAGACGTTTTCGAGAAAAAGCCTACAGGGGTCGCCTCGACTGGGGAGACTCGGCAAGAAGAAAAGGAGAAAAGGGCACTGGCCCTTAGATGTTTTCTGAGGAAAAGACTACCAAGAGTCGCCTCGACTGAGGGACTCGGCGAGGAAAAAGACAAGGGCATCGGCCCTTAGATGTCTATTAGAAAGAACAGGGGTCATTATCGAGAGTCACCTCGACTGAGGGACTCGGCGAGAAAAGCCCCAAGGCTCGGAAAATAAAAAGACTACGTAAATCGAAAAGAAGATACAAAATAAAGAGAAACGCAAAAGGAATGTTTTTCATTCGTAAGGGTCCAAAGGTAGGACCGGCCCTTACAAAGAGACGAAATCATAAAGGCCTAAGCTACAGGAGGAGGTATCGCAGCTTCAACTCCCTCAACCTGTTCCTCTGCCGATGGACCAACTGGAGGAATGGGCGAAGGGTCTTCCGCTTGAGGAGGCGCATCAGTGGACGCAGGCAGGTCCGCCACCGGTAAGACTGGAGGAGAGGGAGAAACAGTTGTGATAGCAACCCCGGGTGCTGGCAACGGCTCGACCACCGGCTTGAGGCCCCAGCCCTCAGGAGTGAAAGAGGGATCGCGGGCTAGTAGGAGGGCATACATCTCCAATTGCGCCTCACGGTAACCCAGGCGGAAGTCTCGCTCACCGAGATCGAGCAGATAGTCGTCACCCTCCGCAGTCGCCAGCCATTCATTCGCCAGCTCCTCCTGTCGACCAGCTATCGCCGACTTCACATCCGCCTCGAAGGCTGCCGACCCCTTATACTCGGTGACAGCAGCGACGGCCTTGCCCCGCTCTTCCTCCCATTGGCGGGTCACCCTCAGGAGCTTGGCTGTATGAATCTCTCTTGCCTTGGTGAAAGCTGCCTGCTCCTCTTAGCGAGCTTCCTCTGATTGGCGCAGGCGAACGTTGAGACCTTGTATCCCAGCCTTGAGGGCCCGCATCCGCTTCTTGCATCAAGAGGAAAAACAAAAGAAGGAAGAGAAAATCAAGAGTAAGAAGGTTGAAGGCTCACCCGGTAAGATTGGCGCAGTGAAGCCTCCAAGACATACTCGTCTTGCATCTTGCTCGCTGCCTCCAAGTCCTTCGGGAGGAGCACGTGCTCGGCCCAATGTTGCACCGAGTAATCGCCCTGTCATATCTGGGCGTCCTCGTTGACCTCCAAGCTTATTCGGATCTTCTTGGGCGGAGGCACGTCCGGCTGTTCTAGTGGACGTTTGGAGCTTGGGCTATTTGTTGGGGCTGGAGGCGGAAGTCGGGAAGGAGAAGCTGCGGGAGAGGTCGACAGATCCACCACATTTCTGGGTGGAGTCGCACGGGGAGCTGAGAGAGGAATCGAGGACGAGGTCGTTGGATTTCCAGTCGAGCGCTGCGTCAGTCGGCGCCTCATTTTTTCCGCACGATCGGCCATCGCGTTGGTCGGAACATCAGCTTCCTCCGAGCTAGTAGACGCGGATTCGTCGAGACCTGTACAGACGAAGAGAAAAGGTTAGCCATCCGGTCGAGAAGAAGAGCAAGAGGAAAAGGTTCAGTAGAAAGCTACTTATGGTGGCCGCCCCAGTAGAAAGAAGACCCCATTTCGCCATGGCCCGCAGTCGCGACCAATGCTTGGTGGAATAGGGCCCCATGCTCTTCAAAAACTTGGCTCCGGGGTGAAGACGGCTCGCCGGGAGCAAGGCTTGAAGAGAGCAGCCGGCCACATGGTCGGGAAGGTAAAAAGAGAGTAAGAAGGGCGAACAAAGAAGAAGTAAGGTTTCCAGTCCTTTACAGAATCTGGGAGACCCTTGAAGAGAAGAAGCCCGGGTCGGGCGGAAACTTGGACGAAACCCTTGGAATGAGAGCCGACCTTCTTCATAGTGAACATGCATCGGCAGAGTTCCATGTCGGCCTCACAGAGCCACCAGCGACAAAGAACAACGAAGCAAACAAGGAGGCGATGGGAGTTGGGTACAAGCTGACCCGGGACAAGGTTGTAATAGCGGAAGAAAAGGGAGAGAAATGGATGAGGTGGCACTCGAAAGCCAAAGGCCACCGAGTGCAAATGGATACCGATATAACCCTCCGGCGGGTAAAAAATAAACCGGTTTTCCGGCGGAAGGACAACGGGATGGGAGGCCAAAAGGAGCTTCCCGACGAAGAGGAGGATGAAGTAGAAAACGAGGAAGAGGAGGCGGAGGACCCCGCCGGACGGTGAGAAGAAGAAGACATAGCTTAAATGCAATCACCAACTTGGAAAGATTCCGGCAAAAGGCAAGGAGAAGAATGGGGGTCACGGTTAGGGCTAGGGTTAGCCTAGACGGCGCGTCTAGGGCCCTAGGCGCGAGAAAAGTCAGCACAACCCAGCCTACCCAATCCAGGCCCATTCTCAGCCATGATTCCTGGGCCGCCCAGTGTCTAGGCCAGACAGCTTGAGGATCGAGCTCAGGGCTGACAGAGTAAAGAGGTCGACACGCATAACCCGATTTCGGTATCCAACCAGGCGAGTAGTTAGGGCTCTGGACCCGGAGTCGTCGCCGACCCCACGGTCGGCCAAGTGGGATCGACTGCCCCTAGTAAGGAGTTAAGTCGGATGAAGGAAGCCCGACAACAATGATAAAGTAAAGCTCTTTCTCTAATGACAAAGAAAAAACAAGACAAAAAAGAAATGTTTATTGATCAAAGAGAGATAGGCCTACATCCCGGCCAAGTTACAAGCTAAAGCATAAAGCTAGATCATGGACTGGTCTTTTCCTTTGTCAGACGGGTAGGAGGCGGACCCTCTAGGAACAACTGGGGTCGAAAAGTAAGCGGAGTTGGATCTGGCTCCGGCATGTCATCCACATAGACCGGCGGCTTCCCGTCATCGATCATTTGAAGAGGTCTTTCAGAGCACTGGGGGACATGGCCACCCCGAAGAGCGGAGGAACCTCCCATACTTCCTCCTCGTCTAACGGCGGCTCGTCTATCACCGGTTCCACTCGCCGGTTAGTCGAGTCCACTGGAATCACATCCAGCATGTCCGGGGAAACTACAATAGGATCAGAGTTGGAGTCGCCTACTAAGCGGCCACCGTTGGCTAGCCTCTGCTGCCTTAGTTTCTCCAGCCGGGCCTACTCCTTTTGACGAATGGAGAAGCGTCAGTCACCGATCCTGTAGCTCATATCGAAAGGAGAAAAAGAGTAGCAGCCGCAAATGGTATCAAAAAGAGAGGTGAAAAAAGAAAGTGAGAAAAAGCCCCATTTATAGCCAAAATCAATCGAATATCGAGGAGCAAATCACAGAGGAGAATCAAAACTGCCATCATCAGGCAGAAAAGAAGGAAGGGATAAGGGTCAGGAATCTATGTCAGGGAAATATCCCATCAATTTCGCTCGGGAAGGGCGAGATTTGTGTCATGGCCTGAAAAAAGTAAGATCTTCCAAAGATACTGTAAGATCGCGGGTGTCAGACCTTGGGAAGTGCATAGGCCAACTCGAAGGTCAGGCGAATGACAAGCATAATCAAACACGCGGGAAAGAAGAGTCAGAAAAACAAATCCACACCGGTTTTATTAAAAAGGAGGGCGATACATTAGAGAAGGAAGGAACTTTATTTTATACTAATATGTGTGACATTCCTCTCACAGCTCTCCTCACTCGACATCGCACCTCGCCACTTGAAACCCCCGGATAGCGTAGTTCACTTGTCAGAAGAAGAGTGCTCGTCTCGGAAAGACATCTCCTCTGATGGACCAGTAGGAGATGGGAAAACCGAGTCCCAAAAAGCTGGCATGAGGGGTGGAACAATGGGCGCTTCATCATTAGGGTACAGCTCGAGATAACGAGCAAAGTCAACATTAGTCGTTAGGTCGGTAGCCGGCCCGCCAAGGTCATCCAGAGGAATAGTGAACGTCATCTTAAAAGTTAGTCGCTCCGGGACCGCTACCTCGACGAAAGTTCCGTCCTGGGCCGTGACACGAGCCTTGGTCTGGGGCGGAGGGTCGATCGGAGAAGAAGAGTCCTTCACGGGAGGCGGAACCTCAGTCGCCATCCGCAAATCAGAAGAAGCAGAGCTGGAATGATGCCTCTGGGAGGAGGGGTCTGTGAGCTTTCTTCTTGCCTTTCTCTAGCCTCGACCGCTTGAAAGGAGGGGGGCGAGGCGGCGACCCGAAGTCGATCTTTTTCCTTTTATGGGAGAGCGCACGACCCATATTGATTGAGGAGGTGAGGAAAAAACCAAGAAGCCAGAATGCTATTTTTCAGCCTGAGGAAAGAAGGAGAGGGTTAAAACGGACCCGGTGAATCAGGCAGATCGCACAGGATCCGGGCGTTATCCAGTTATTAAAGATAGAGGATTAGAAAAGATTTCTGGGATTGACAAAGGGGATGCGGTTACTTTCCAACATTCGAGTAAGAAGACTGAATATTGAAAAGTGAGGGACTAGCTGATGGGGTGTGGACCCCGGGCCCAAAAGCCTGGAAGCCCAAGGAAGTAAGAAGCCCAAGAGAGCGGCTCAGGGAAAGGAAGAGGCCAGGCCCAAAAGAAGGAAAGCCCGGGAGAGGCATGGACCGAGTCGGGAAGTCGGCCCGACCCCGAGGTCGGAGCAAGGACTCGGTCGGCGCAGGGAGCAAAGAGCCGTTGGAAGCATTTAAAGGGGCGTTAAAGAGCCCAGTCAAAGAGCCGTTGGGAGGCCCAGTAACGGTAGCCCAACGAACCTTAAGAATAACTAGTAATTAACCGGCTAATTAAAGCCTTAAATGTATGTTTTAAGGTCAAATTCAAGGGAGGCCTACTATAAAAGGCCCCTCCGAGGTTGTAAAAAGGCGGCGAGTCCATGCCTAAAGAATAGATATTCCATTCACTAAGAAAACTCATTCCTTTCCATTTTTTGAAAGGTGAATCCACCAACTAAGGTTGTGTTGGACCTCCCTGGGCCCAAAAACCCTAAAACCAACAATACTAATGTCAAATAACTTGAAATAAGATTCACTCAGGTTTTTTGGGGCCTGGACAAGAAATTGGCACAAAGAAAGCATTTTCCTTCTGTAAATTGGCTGATTTCCTACTCAAAGTACTCAGGGGTGCGTTTTCTAATTGCTTTTAACATATGCATAATTTCAGTAAAATCTAAACTAGCCTTTTCCTTGGATCATTATGCTTATTGAGAAAGCATTGCACTATGTTTGTTAAAACTTGCCCAGGCACTGGAGTCCTTTTATGAAAAGTTTGATCCTGATTTCATTAACATAAGAACAAAAGCTCGAGAGGTTCTGCAGAGGGAAGATGACCTAAATGAAATTGTGCAAGTACGTACTTTTACTAATTTCTTGTCATCCATTTTGCTTCATCTTTTGAAACTTCTAGGACTATAAGATGATACTGAGTTTATCATGTTTATCACAAAATCAGAAGAATATTGAAGTGTTGCTGATCTCTTTTATTTGTTGTAGTGGAATATGTTAACGCTATTATTGGTTTGACATTAATTCATTAAATTTTGAAATCATTCTGCCTTTGGTTCTTCAAAGTATAGTGGTACTTCCACTTAATGAGTCATGAGTGTGTTTGGCAGCCATGATAAGCTAGCTTATAGGTTATGAGAAGCTAACTTTTAGCTTTTAGATCCATTTGCTAAGCAAATTTTTTTAAAAAAAATTCAGTTACCCTTAAGTTTTTGTACAAATCACATTTTATTTGTTATCCCATTTCCACCACTACATGTTACAACTATCTTTACATTTTTTATCTCTTTTTTTTTTCCTACTATCATTTTTATATTTTTCAAGAAAAATTATACTATTAAAAATAAAATAGTTATAATAAGAGTGTGTGATCTACAAGATTGTAGATACATATTTCTTTGAGAATTTTAGATTATTAGATGAACTTGTTGCAAAGTAGTATGTTTTTAGAAGAGCGGGATGTGGAGTTTCCAAGGATCAAAATCTTCAGTTATGGAGATTTAAGAGATTTTGGAATTAAATGACAAAAATACAGTCCAAATTTTGTTTTATTTAAATTTTCCGTGCAAATTCAGTGGTAGGTCCAAAAGTGTCCAAACCATTACAGTTGAGAGATTTGTCCGACTCTTTGGCAATGTATTCAAGTTTTACTTTTTGAAGTGGAGAAGAGAGATTTTGTGTAGTTATCCATCCACATTAAATGATGACAAGCTCAACCCCCTCCATGTATTCATTTTATAAGATGGCTATAACTATGTAGATATTTGATAATCCATCCATATTAAAGTGATCCATCCATCCACAGCTGTATAACATTAGCGTCTTTTTATTCGTATTCAGACTTGGAAAGTGATTCCACTAAGGTTATCCCTTTTCATACTAAATACTTTGATATTATTAATAACAATAGATTAATCACTTTATCACTTAGAAACTAACAGCCATAACAACCTTATTAAATGGACTGAAAACAAGCCAATGCCAGAAATGCAACAGATATGCTATTGAAAATTTAGACCAGCAAGATTATAAGTGTTATAGAGTATTGATACAGTAAGTTTAGCATAAGTGGAGTAGGAATACTCTCTTTCAGTATAGGATACAGCTTTAAGATTGAGTGGATTTAGGGAGGATCTTCGATTATATAAGTGAAAGGCTAAAAATTGTAATAATATCGTTTCAAAATGCGTCCATAATCGAGTATTCATATATGATATTCATAGTATTATCAATTGACAAATATGGATCGGAGTTGGATGTATGAGAAACGCAGTACACTCAAATATACACAAGGGGTTCAAGAGTTTATACAATATGCTGAAGAAAATAAAAACAAAAACGCGGAATATTTTATAACGTGACCGTGTTGTGATTGCAAAAATTTTAAAAGATATCGCAGTTCTAAGGAAGTGAAGATCCATTTGATACGCCGTGGCTTTAAGGAAGAGTACAATAGATGGATATGGCATGGTGAAAGCTTACCTCCTAGTACAAGTGTTAGGGAAACTCATGCAAAGAGTGAAACTCAAGCAAATAGTCAAACTCAGGCAGATAACGAGCAGAATGATGAAACTCAAGTTAACAATGATGAGGGTGATGAAATTAATGACTGAATAGATGAAATGATGCGTGATATGCAGGGAGATTTTAGTGAAATGCCTCCTGAATTTAAATGCTTGTTTGATAATGCTGAAAAACCTTTGTTCATTGGGTGTGCCAAATATACTAAGTTATCTGGTATGCTTAAATTATATAGTTTAAAAGAAAAGAATGGATGGAGTGATAAGAGTTTCACGGGATTATTAGAACTAATAAAAGATATGCTTCCTAGTGATAATGAACTTCCGAATTCAACTTACGAAGCAAAGAAGTTGTTGTGTCCGTTGGGTATGGACATTGAGAGGATACATGCATGTCCGAATGATTGTATATTGTATTGGAAAGAATACAAAGACTTGCATGTGTGTCCAAAGTGTGGGTCATCACGTTATAAAAGGAAAAATGTTGGTGATGTGTGTAAGGATAAGAAAGGTCCACCAGCGAAAGTGTTATGGTATTTACCCGTAATACCAAGATTTAAACGCATGTTTGCTAATCCAAGGGATGCCAAAAATTTGCAATGGCATGCTATTGGAAGAAAAAATGATGGAAAACTAAGACATCCAGCCGATTCACCACAATGGAGGAATATTGATAGGAGCTGGCCTGAATTCGGTACTGAAAACAGGAATCTTAGACTTGGATTATGTACGGATGGAATGAATCCTCATGGTAACATGAGTAGTCGACACAGTACTTGGCCTGTCCTTTTGGCAGTCTACAATCTTCCACCTTGGTTGTGTATGAAGCGAAAATACATCATGTTGTCCTTGTTAATATCAGGGCCTAAACAACCAGGAAATGACATAGATGTATATCTAGCGCCACTTATTGAAGATTTAAAAATATTATGGAATGATGGTGTGCCGGTGTATGATGCTTACAGTCAAAGTAGTTTTACCTTACGTGCAATGATCTTTTGCACCGTAAATGATTTTCCAGCTTATGGTAACCTATCAGGTTATACTAATAAAGGAGCAAAGGCATGTCCTATTTGTGAATATGAAACAACCAATCTATGGTTGAGTAATAGTAAAAAAAATGTGTTCATGAGTCATAGGACATTTCTCCCAATTGATCATCCTTATCGAAAGAAGAAAAAAGCTTTCAATGGAAAATCATAGACTGGAGTAGCACGTTTGCCTTTATCTGGACATGCGGTCTATGGACGTGTTAAAAATGTTGATGTTGCTTTTGGCAAAATGTGTAAGACTACTCAGAAGACTCTCTGGAAGAAGAGGTCTATATTTTGGGATCTACCATATTTGAAGCACTTAGCAGTTAGACATTGTCTTGATGTGATGCATATTGAGAAAAATGTTTGTGACAGCATTATTGGAACACTGTTGAACATTCAGGGAAAGACAAAAGATGGTATTAAAGTGAGAAAGGATATGGTTGAAATGGGAATACGGGAGAAGTTAGCACCACAAGAATAAGGAAAACGAACATACTTACCTCCATCTTGTCATACTTTGTCCAAAAAAGAGAAAACAAGTTTTTGTGCTTGCTTAAATGCTGTCAAGGTTCCTTCCGGTTATTCATCGAATATTAAAAAACTTGTGTCAATGAAGGACCTTAAATTGGTTGGCATGAAGTCTCATGATTGTCATGTATTAATGCAGCACATGTTACCTATTGCTATTCGAGATGTTTTACCAAAACATGTTAGGCAAGCTATAACAAAACTTTGTTTCTTTTTCAATGCTATTTGCAGTAAAGTTGTTGACATAGATGTGTTAGATGCTTTGCAGGCTGAAGTGGTTGTTACTTTGTGTCAACTTGAAATGTATTTTCCCCCATCTTTTTTTTTGATATTATGGTGCACTTGATTGTTCACTTAGTGAGGGGAATTAAGATCACTGGTCCGGTTTTTATGAGATATATGTATCCGTTTGAAAGATACATAGGAATATTGAAAGGATATGTGAGAAACAAATATCGACCTGAAGGAAGTATAATTGAAGGTTATAGTTCTGAAGAAGCAATTGAGTTTTGTACTGATTATTTAGCTGGTGTTGAGTCTATTGGTGTTCCCAAGCCTCTTCATGAAGGAAAACTCAGTGGGAAAGGTACTATTGGATACAAATCATTTGTTCCGCCTACAAACTTGCGAGATAAGGCACATCATCTCGTATTGGAACACCTTACTGAGGTTCATCCGTACTTGGACCAACACATGTCCATGATAAGACAACAAAATCCTTCAAAGGGTGAAAGATGGGTGGCTATTGAACACAATCGCACTTTCATAAGATGGTTCAATGATACTGTGATGGAAGAGCTATCTCAAGTGCCAAATAATTTCAGTGAAACCATAAAATGGTTATCATTTGGACCTACATTACTTGTGAGTTGTTATGAAGGTTATGACATAAATGGATATACATTTTACACCAAACGACAAGATGAAAAGAGTGTGGTGCAAAATAGTGGGGTTACATTAGTAGCAATATCAAAAGATTATTCAAGTGCTAAAGATACTAAACCAATTGATGTTGCTATGTCTTACTATGGTGTGATTGAAGAAATTTGGGAACTTGATTACAATGTATTTAAAATTCCTCTATTCCGTTGTAATTGGGTTGATAATAGAAGAGGTGTTCAGATAGATGAATTGGGTTTTACTTTGGTTGATTTTAGTCGGTTGGGTTATCATGATGAACCATTTATACTTGCATCTCAAGCAAAACAAGTGTTTTATGTTTCTGATCCTGTTGATAACAAGTGGTCAATTGTCTTACAAGGTAAGAGAAGTATTGTTGGTGTTGGAGATGTTGATGAAGAAGAGTATGATCATTTTGATGAAAATCCTCCACTTTCAATTGGTATTCAGTCTTTATCTTCAGATGAAGATAACCTTGAAATTAGTTACATGCGTAGTGATCATGAAGAAGGATTGTGGGTTGACCAACGTGCATCATAATTTTTTGTTGTAAGATTCATAAGTTGTTGACAATAACTTTTGTTTGGTATTTTATTGGAATTGAAATGCAATATAATATGTTTATTGATATTTATACATATATTTTGCATGTGCAGGTATATATAGACAACCATGAGTGATCAAACTAGAGAAACTTCTAGTTCAGCCCTTAAAGAAAAACCTAAAAGAAGAGGTCTGAATGCATGTAAAAACTTCAATAAGAAAAAGGCAAAAGAAGAAGTATCAATTCAGTTTGATAAATATAATAGGCCGGTTGGATCATATAGCAAGAAGTTTGCATCTTATGTTGGGGCTGTGGTTCGTGGTAGAGTAGATATCAACATCGAAAATTGGGACAAAGTAGAAGGAAGGATCAAAGATTCAATTTGGACAGATGTTAAGGTATCTAATAACTTTACATTAATTGTTAATTAGTGATATAAGTTTAATTATCAACTATTGTTATTGCTTATGCTTATGTTGTTGTTATTCAGGCACAATTTTGCCTTGAAGATGATACAAAGAAGAAGCTTGTATTGAAAGTTGCATCGAAGAGATGGAGAGACTTCAAAAGTAGATTGAAGCATGAATATATTATCAATAAGCACCCAAACTATGATTCTCCTGCGCAACTCTATGACTTCATAACTGAGGAGATTTGGGCGAAATTTGTTGCACATCGTGAGAGTAAGGCATTCAAGGTATGTTTATTTCATTTTATTATAATTAGTTCAAGTGTTTTATTAATATTAACATATCATTGAAATTATAGGAGAAAAGTGAGAAGGCAAAACAAAGGCAAGCATGCAATGAGCATCCACACTTTCTAGGTTCTGCTGGATATGTTGGCAAACAAGCAGAGTGGAAGATGTCAGACCCGTTATCTTCACAATCTTCATGTGCTTCTGTTAGCTCGTCATTACTTTCCGAAGAACGCAGTTTCGATTGGGTACGAGCAAGAGTTAAGAAGTCAAAAGAAGGATGTTATTTCATTCCGAATGAGAAAACACAAGAGGTGTTTCATAAAATTGTAAGTACTATTTTTTAAAAATTGTTATAAGAATATATAATATGCTTAAAAATACTAATACTTAACTTTATCTAATTTATTAGAACAGATACAAAAATGTGATGAAGTTAATCAAGGGACATTTCAACCGAACAGACATCATGACATATTGTCTACAGTTCTTGATAAATCAGAAGATAAAGGGGGTTCGGGTTCAGTAAGAGGAGTTGGTTCGTACTCCACCATTCGACAAGTATTTGGTAGACCAGAGCAGAAACAGGGCACACTAAAGGGGATGATGTCTACTGATGAAGTCCAACAGATGATGGAAAAGGTCAGACAAAATACATTGTCGGAGGTGCAACCCCAGATTAACATGGTCACCCAGCAACTGCATATATAACATGTCAGCTAACCACCAAGGTCCACAAGGAGTTTCGATTGACACTCCTCAAAGTGCTTATGCTGGGTATGATCAACCTCCGACTCGAAGCAGCTGTCATTCGGTTGATGTATATCCACTAACCACAATTAAGGTAATATTAAAAATTATTTTATAATCAAAATATTATTTTCTTGTATTTAAACCTAACATATATATATATATATATATATATATATATATATATATATATATATATATATATATAACATTGTAGTATACCACTTTGGGACATATACTTTGGAGTAACACACAATAGCCTACTCATTTAGTTATTTTAGATGAGGTATGCATTCTAGTTGTTAAACTTCTAGTTGTTTTATAAACACTTTTGTTATATTCAAATGTTATCTTTTGCCTGTTATGATGATTGACATTATATTGCTTTCAATTATTGGTTGCTCTTAATTGGTAGGAAAATGTCAAAGTAAGTCCACAAAGAAAAAATAAGCAAATGAGGGATCAAAGTGCTGAGCAATCTGCTACTGCTACACGATCTCCAATTGTTGGTGATAATGTCTTTTTGCTTTTGGGGACATACTGCAAGCAGCTTGTCAGTACGTTGTTATCATATCCTGTTGACAAAGACTGCATTGACTTGGACTTAGATTTGTCACTCTTCCATCATGCAAACGTGAATGGTGTTTATGTGATGATGGAGGATATACAGGATTTGTTGACAATGAATTGGCTCGATGTCTCGATTATACAAGTGTTTATGATGTAAGTTTTAAATTGTTCATGTGTTTTATATACATTTGTTTTTTAAGTTTATTGAAATTTTTTATTTGTACGTATTTTTTAGGTTTTTGAATAAGCTGTGTAAGCAGCTTGGAGTGACATCTATTGGGTCTGCGTGTCCAACACAAATTTCAGCAGATATGGTTAACTTAAATTCTGTTGTGGTTACACAATATCTAATTTAGGTTATGGATAAACACAAGGATCAACAATTCATATTGACACCATATCATCAAAAGTAAGTCTTTTACTTTACTAATTAATTTATATAATTTAATAACTTTAATGGAAGTTTTTGATATTAGAATTTTAATATATATATATATATATATATATATATATATATATATATATATATATATATATATATATATATATATATATATATATTGTAAATGTAGTAATCATTGGATACTCATCGTGATTAGCCCACCTTCTAAAACGGTGTATGTGTTTGATCCTTTGAAAAGTGTGGATCGCAACCTTGCTGTTAAAGTTTTTGTGAATATGTAAGTAAAAAAATCAATATATGTATTTTAAATGTTATTATGTTATATATAAATTGATACGAATGTTTGTTATTAATATAGGGCATTTCGATCTGTTCCTGGACGAGGAATTAGAACGGTTGATTGGAAAGAATGCAGAGTATGAAGTTAAAGTTCAAGTTAAAGTTTTTTTTTTTTTTAATTAAAATTTAATTTTATTTGATGATCACAATTTTTTTTTTTTAAGTGAACTTTATTAAGTAATAAAATGGCCTAAACCAATAATCCAGAAAGGACTTAGGCCCCACATGGCCTAAATCCAACTAACTAATCTAAGTAAAGTAAATAAAACGAGATTACATAAAAAAGGCCCCCGGGGCTCTAACATAAACGCCCCAAGTCCCATACTAGCTATTGCTAACTAGAATGCATAATAGAGCATAAACCATCTGAATATAAATTCAAGCCAAGTAAACTGCGAAGCTGCTCCAAAATATAATAAACGTGTAGCCCAACTGCTTCACAGTCCACCATATAAACATGAAGCTCAATAGCAAGGCACAGACACCTTGCATGCCACAGCCATAGCACTCTCCCTGCAAGTTGCACCACAGCGACTCTGCACTATAATGCAACCTAACCGAACCACGACTGTAACATCTCCTGGGATGCTATTGACTGCCCTGTAAAAAGCAATAATATACCACCCAGCAAATATGATAGAAGGCCTAACAATAGTCAGAAACAGCGGCACGCAGGCCTAAGTCATGGTAAATCACAGGCCAATAATCAAAACAACAAAACACAAGGCAGCCAATAGTAGGAACTCCCGATCAGCACCAGCACGAACCAGAACCAACCCTAACGGGATTAGCTACTATGGGCCAGCAGCAAGCCTGGACGACCGCCAATGGATTTGAAAAACCCCTACCCGGCCACCGTTCAGCCCGGGCTAGGATGCAATTTCTTACCGCTTGCACCAACGTTGAGGCCTGGTCTATCTCAAAAAATGTGTGCAAAGGCGAAACCAAAAAAGCCTATAGACCAGCACACGCCTCGGAGGTCAGAGAAACAGCACCTGCAGAAATAGAAACAAGATAGAACAAGCAAGTATCCTGTTCCCATGACCCAACTATTTCAACTTTCTTCCTCGGGCGAGTGTTTAAGGTTTTAACAGGCTGACGCGAACAAAAAGCAACCCCCAAATAATAGCCCGTCCCCCCCGGAGTCCAGAAGGAGCTCAGCTACTATTGGCCATCAGCAAGTCTGACCAGGTCAACGGATTTGACTAGTCCTGCACGGTGCACCGTTCAGCCCGGACTAGGGTGCCATGTTGTACCGCCAACACCTTGCGTTGGGGCTCGATCCTGCAAGCAGGACTTCATGGCCTCCAAAAACCTCACACACTCTCTGTTTAAAGCTCACGTCAACTCTTTCTTTTGCCTTTCCAACTCTCGTTTTTTCACTCCAATTCTTTTGCACTCTAAATCTTTCCCACTCCAATTCTTTTCACTCCATTTCTTTTTCACTCCATTTCTTTTCATTCTTCTTTTTCTTTTCTTTTTCATTCATTCTTCCTTTCTTCTTTCCTTTTTTCTTCTTTTTATTTTTTTTCCTTTTCTTTTTCTCTTTTCTTTTTCTTTTCATTACTGCTTTTTTCACTTTCAAACAAACATACAGCAGGAAGTACTAACACAATCACAGGGGATCATCAATCTCAAAAAAACACATAGGGCACATCATCATGTATCATTAACGAACGAACCCTACGCGGCAGATCATTGAGGTTCCGAAAGACGGCCACCCCCGGCTTACCAACCACCCAATCAGCTAACGCCTGTGCAGGTAGATTGGCCCTAGACGGGCACACGGCAGCAGTAACTACCCCACAGGAACACAGGAAACGGAGCCTGGAAACCACATTATCCAGAACCCACGACGGGCGCACAGAAACATCAACATAGCTAGCCAACTCCGCCCAAGTGGACTCTATATCCAACACTGTATTTCCCCTGGCCAGGCACCATTCCAGACAGGAGAACAAGACCCGGAACATGCCCCAAGCGTGCTCCCCATGTCTAGACCACGCAACCCCATAACAAAAGCCACCCTCCTGGTTGCGCACCACGGCTGCAGCCCCCCTACTGCCAAAGACAAAGATAAATTAATCTTTAAAGCACCGGCAGCAGGAGGAGACCACCTGACCGTCCTAACAACACGCCTCGGCACGTGTGCCTCCAAGTATGCCACAACAGTCCTCCAATTAGAGGGCAGGATATGCTGCATAGGCCACCGCCTAAACAGACATTCCGCCACCCCC